ATTCTAGGCTCAGCTCAACACTCTGGCTCCATGCACTTTCCCTGCCACACCGAAGGGCTCAGTGACCATTCATACTCTTCCCCTCAGGGGTCTCCCAGGTTACAGGTCCCTGTGTCTAACTCCCCATTAGAATAATCACTATCATCTCTAACAGCCATGCTAATCTCATTCTCCTTTCCCTCTAAATCCTATTCTTTCTTTTTGAATCCCAGTATTACAACAATACAAACCTATAGAAATAAGGAAGTTTATCATCTTGCACAGAAGACAGGCAGATGGGTAATTATTCTGCAGGTTGATGAATTCTTTTTTGTTTGTTTTTGTTGTTTTGGGTTGGTCGTGAAGGCTTGAAAACTCAGGGCCTAGGCACTTTCTCTGAGCTCTTTTGTTCAAGGGTCTACCACTTTGAGCCACAGAACCTCTTCCGATTTGCAGATAAGAGCTTATGGACTTTCCGACCCAACCTGGCTTCAAACCATGATCCTCAGATCTCAGCCTCTTTTTTTTGCCAGTCCTGGGGCTTGAACTCAGGGCCGGGCACTGTCCCTGAGCTTCTTTTGCTCAAGGTTAGCACTCTACCACTTGAGCCACAGTGCCACTTGGGGCTTTTTCTGTGTATGTGGTGCTGAGGAATTGCACCCAGGGCTTCGTGCTTGCTAGGCAAGCACTTTCCCACTAAGCCACATTCCCAGCCCCACATCTCAGCCTCTTGAGTAGCTAGGATTGCGGGCATGAAGATAGATAAATGTTATACTCAGAAAATCCCAAGAAGCTGTGCTTCTGATAGAAAAGGAATGAATCAAGAAATGAATGAGTCAAGGAATAAATCAAGATTTACAATGAAAGAACAACATCTTTGTGGTATTAATTAGGTAACTATGGTGTGTGTGTGTGTAGCCATGAGGGGCAGAAGGATCTGGTAGACACAGACCCAGGACCTGAATGAGGGCAACAAAGGTCTAGACAGGGGCAAAGTTGGGTCCTGGGAGCTATGTGAGAATACAAAGTTTGAACCCAAAGGACATGATGAAGAGGGCCAGCTAAATTCTGTCTTTTCATGAAACACTGAAGAGATTATGAATCAGCTTCTGGGGAGACCCACCACAGTCTCAGCTCTCCACAAGTGAGCTTCTCAGGGTGCTGAAATGTATCCAAGGAAGATCGGTTGCATAAACACTTTATAGCATTTTATAACCTCAGAGTAACTGTACTTTGTACACGTCACTTTTAACCTTCACCTTGGATTAAAGCTAGCATACAGGCAAATCTGGGACTTTGGAAGTAAGTAGATGGGGAACTTCAAAACCTGGGCAAGTCACACACTCTCTTCTATCTCCATCCTCCTGACCTCAAAGATAAGGATGAAATAGCCACCACTGTATCTGAATCCCACTGAAATCAGCATTTTTGTAAGTATCACCAAATATGACCTAAACTGATATGAAGTTATTTATAGTTTTAATTTACCCTCTCAGTATGAATGATCTAACATTTTTCTGCATAGTATGGATATGTTTAAATATTTAACTATTGAAGGTATATATGTATATATGTATGTGTATATATATATATATATATATATATATATATATATATATACATATATATATATCCATCATTGGACTTTCTATTGTCTGAAAAATTCTGAAATCACTTTGAGACAAGGCGTTTTGGATGAGTTTTTTGTTGTTGTTGTTGTTAGCCATGGGACCTGGACTCTGGGCCTAGGCACTGTCCCTCAGCTCTTCAGCTCAAGGAGAGTGCTTTACCACTTGAGTCACAGTGCCACTTCTGGATTTTTCTGCTTATGTGGTGCTGAGGAATCAAACCCAGGGCCTCATGCATGCAAGGCAACACTCTACCATGGAACCACCTTCCCAGCCCCTAGATGAGAAATTTGAGTGAACACACACACACACATACACATACACACACACACACACACACACACACACACACATACACAGAAGATAATATAGATAAAGTGCTTAGTACAGATGGCACATAACCAAAGAATCATATTTAGGGGCAGTTACTTTTCACAATCCTGCCTTGACATCATAGATGTTGCCATTGGTTCTTCCATTCACAAGAAGAGGAATAAAACTGAGAGTGGGAGCATTCACTGCATGTGCTAGCAAAAGCTGGCTGTGGACAAAGGGAAGACAGCCAGGGAAGGGCCTGGTAGAGTGGAAGAGTATTCAGACAAGGCGGTAAACATCAAAAGTCTACAACTCAGAGCTTCTCATGAGAGGGTAATAAATGAAGCTAAGAGTGTTTGACAGAAATTACAAAGCACCTTGAATCTCCATGTTTATATTTTCATCCTGAGGACCACTGGTTTTTCAAATGTGTTCAAGAAAAATGAAATTACTATTTCCATGGAACATCTATGCACACTACCCACATAATCATGTTTACTCAATGGTCCAAATGCTCTTTTTTGTTGTTTATTTGTTTGTTTTGCCTGTCCTGCAGCTGGAGGCCAGGGCTTGGGTACAGTCCCTGAGCTTTTTTGCTCAAGGCTGTGTTCTACCACTTGAGCCACAGATCCAATTCAGGCTTTAAAGTGGTTAATTCAAGATAAGAGTCTGAGGGATTGTCTTGTCCTGGCTGGTTTTAAGCCATGATTCTCAGATCTTAGCCTCCTGAATAGCTAGGATTACTAGCCACTCAGGGCCACCATGAATCACCAGTGCCCAGCTCAAATGTTCTTGTAAAGAGCAAATGTGATCATCTCAGACCTCAGAATGTGCTCTTCAAAGCTATCTCATTAAACTGTAGTCAAATGGTCTCTACAGGCTATGAGTGATGTGGGCCTTCATCTCACACTGCCTTCTCCATGTCCCTCCCCACCATAATGACTTTATAATGGGTCTCCCTTTTTTCTTCTTCCCACTTGCTTAGTTAGCTCCTGCTCTTCCAGCTCTCTGTCCAGTCATTATTTCCAGGGAGCCTTTCCTGGCTTGGTTATCCGTACTCTATGGATGTCTGCAGTGTAGCTTTTAATCACAAGTTGAGTCACATTAGTAGTGCTGTGTGTGGTTGCTTGATGCTTTCCCCTACTATAGTTTAAACGTTGAGAATAAGAAGTGTGGGTCCATCTGTCTTGTTCATGACATTCTCCCACTACCTCCCTCAGTGCCACCACTAAATAGGCCCCACAACGATCTGTTGAAAATGTATTCATAAACACAACAGGAAGATGAATGGGGAGGAAGCTATTGTAATTGAAACAAGGATGGCGCCTTTGGTTGAAGGAGAATTGTGGGACCTGGGATACTTACCCCTAGGCCTACCTCCTGCCCTTTCCAAAGGTTCTTCAGACACAGGGTAGGGATTGTCTAAAAAGCAGTGCTTTTCTCACAGTCATTTCTTCCCTCCCCCCCACCCCCAGTGGTGGTTACTCTAATAAAAGACTTTATTATTTGCTGTAGGGATGGAGATGACTTATTCTCTTGGCCTGACGAAACTCTCAGTTAATGGTCAATAGAATGGGTAAACCATCAAAGTAGCTTTGTATAGACAGGAAACATATTTCATTCATTTATTTCAACATCTCATCTCTCTTGAGTGAATAAGGACTTTAAAAGACATCTATAAGGCGGCTGAATTGTATTCATTTGTGCAAGACTGGATGTAGAGTAGATACTTCTTTGCAAAGTCATCTTGGCCTTGACCCAGACCAGTGGAGAAATTGCTGCTGTTCGGTGCAGATCCCTGCAGAGAGCATAGGCCCATCTTGGGCCTGGGATCGTCCAACACAGGGCAAATTGTGTGACTCTAGCACTTATTCAGCGTGGTCAGCTATAATGGAGTCAAGGGATGCCTTTATCTGTTAAATAGGGCGTATCGAAGTGAAAATTACCTTTTGATTGAGTAGCGTTGCTGAAGAAAATCAATAGGAATGGCCTGAGATTTATTGGCACTGGCTCAATTTTAAGTGTTGTAGATTTTCAAATTACTGGAACACTGGGTTTCAGGATTCAACCTTTTCAAGGCTGGTTGAAAATAAACAACAGAGTGCGTTAAAGAAGCAGTGTGTCTATGCAATCCTAGCTTAAAGAGAAAATATGTGCTGACCAAAATTAAGTCCTTTCTCAACCCCCAAATATGCTTTTCCAAATTCCGAGAGCCTGTGTTTGACATGTTTGAAAGATATCACAGCTGAAGTTGGCTTTGTTCAGAATGTAGGAGACAGTTTTTGTCTAGACTTTCAGAAAAGATATAGAATGACATTTTCAGAACAAATCAAAATATATTTTTAAATTCCTTTTTTCCCTTCAGGAAGAGGATTTGACATGCTTCTATAATTTGAATTTGGTTGATCTATAAATGGCCTCAATAGTTTAATATGAAGGGGAGAATAAAAATGAACCATTGAGAAAAAGTACTGAAAATCTGTTAATTCACTTTCTTCTTTTTATAATTTTTGGCAGGATTTGAACTCAGCATTTCATTATTGTTAGGCACATACTGTACTGCTTGAACCACAATTTCAGTTCTTTTTTTTTTTTTGCTATGATTACTTTTTGATAAAGGATTTTACCTTTTGCCTGGGCCAGTCTGAACTGTTATTCTTCCATTTATGCCTTCTGCTGTAGCTGAGATCACAGACCTGCTCCACCATGCCCAAATCTTACAAACTTTTTTGCCTGGGCTGCCTGGAACTGTAGTCCTCCTGATTTCCACAGAGCTGGGCTGATAGGTGAGAGCCACTAACACCTAGATACATGTTGATTTATTTTCTTTAATTACATTATCAATAACAACTCAATAATTAATTGAGTGGCTTCTAGGCATGTGCTGTGGTCTTAAGGTACACTGTCTGACACCATGAGGCAGATATTATTACCATATCAATTGCTGAAATGAAGCAGAGAGAGTTGAGCTGACTCACCCAGAGCCACACAGTCAGGGACCAAGGAAAAACCATGGGTGACTGGTTCTCTAAACCTATCCTCTTCACCACTGTGTTTATTTATCTCCTTTCCCCATAGGGCCAGCATTGTGCAGAAACGCATTATTTATTTTCAAGATGAGGGCTCTCTGACCAAGAAGCTTTGCGAACAAGGTAAGACTGTGCAGTGGGTTGAGAAGGGCAGATAAATGGAAGGAGGCTCCTTCAGTTCGAGCATCACTGCAGGAATTTGGGCATTCGGGCTTCTAAGTTCCCCTGGGTGCTGCCTCCTCATGTAATTCCGATTTTTAATCTGGCTGTGTGCTGTGGATAATTGGATCCGCCTTAAGCTCTAATTACTCGGCTTGATTCCCTGGGTAGGAGATAATGTACCTTATATTGGTATCGGCTTCTTATTTTTGTGAAACAGTGATTATTCTGAAGAGGTTCCTTGGAATAAGTCACAGGACTTAATTAAGGAATGCACAATTGTGTATCTTTTAAAAGTCTATAATGCTTCTCTGGAAAAATCATTCCCAGGAACTTGTGTGACATCTTGACAATATGGGGGATTTTTTCTTTCTCAAGGAAGACCTGCAGGGGCTGGGGACCTGCCCTTATGATTTTACCACTTTCAGGACCCTGGCTCTTAGGTATGCAAGACCATCAAACCTCCTTTCCTGGGAAAGGCATTCTAGCAAAGTTCATGGAGGCTAAGCAGTCTGGGGAAGTTAGAGCAGGGTCTTGGGTTCAAATCAAGCCTGGGTTTGAGTCTGCTGTTGCCCCTCCTACCCATGGAGAGTATGTATATGTAAATATACATAGTATATTTACATAGTAAATGCTATGGACATTAAGAGGTAGCTATTTCTATCTATATCCAAAAGCTGTTTGTTAATCTACTGTTTTAATATCTGTGTAGAAGTCATCAGATAATGAGAATAAAAAAATGCTGTATAATTATACAGCTTAACCATCTCACTTCTGTTCATTATTGCAGAATTTTTATTTGTATCAAGCACAATTAGACTTTTGAGAAAAAATAAGCCTTTTCAATTCTAGAAAATTATAAAGTATTAAAAAGTTTGATAAAGATCTTCTGGGAAAATAATAAAAATGAATGTTTTTGAGTGTTTACTGCATGTCATTTGCCTTGATCATGTAATCTTCACAACTCTATATGGTAAAGATTATTATGTAATTCTTGCTGTACCTGAAGTGCCTGAGACATAGTTGAAATAGGTCTCTTAGCATTATATAGCCTGTACTAAAGGGCAGGATTTGGCCCTGAAAGCCAGTGCCCTGAACCACTGTCTTCTGTCAAAGTGGCCAGCTCCCATTTTAGTAACTTGCGTCACTGCTTTTGGCTGAGCAATTGCATTGTCTCCAGAGCTGGAGAAAAACTAAGACCTATATGGAAGTTGTAGAGATAGTGTTGGATGTCCTGTTAAGACCAGAGCAGTAGGCTGGCTTCCCAGTGGATACCATCATGAGATGCTTTAGAAACTTTACTTTCCTGTGTTTGACTCACCAAAGGATCACTCAGTCTTTCTCTAAACAGGCAGCGTCTCAACTTTTGAGGTCCTTAGTTCCTACATGACAATCCTATTCCTAGTCTACCTCCATGAAATGCCATGCAGTTATTATGGACTAGAGTGGCGGCTTTCTGAATCAGGCATGCCCAGGCCACCTCTTGGTCTTCTGTTAGTCTGTCAGCTTTATTTCCAGGATCTGAAGATTCTTAGGAGACACATCACTGACATCCCCAGGTGTGACCAGGATCATTAAATATTAAGTTAACATGTTAATGTTAATACTTTTTAAAGTCTTGGTTCTGGTGCTGTGTGAAGGAAGCCTTGTGCTAAGAGGCATGTGTTAAAGTTTGGGATGGTGATAGTGTTAAGGTTCAGTGGATAGTGTACCAACAAAGATGGCATGTCCAATCTCTAGTTGCTTGTTCTATAAGAGATCCTATCCAAGCAATTAAAATCCCATCAATATGCAAAGACCACTTACCAATGCCAACTTGATGGACAGGAAAATAAAGGCCCTGCAGGTCCTGGGTTATAGGTTTATCACTTGATCCCTAGAGACAAAAGATTCATGAGAAATCAATTAACTAAGCAGATCATCTTGAGAAACTCTTTGTTGAGTCAAATCAAACCTATCAACGATGGTATAGTGAAATTTGGAGCTATTTTTTCCTAGTTGAAGTCATCAATCCATAAGAGAAGAATTGAGAGATGAAAAGATAAAAAGAAGTAGCAATCATTTTTTAAGGCCACAAAAACATTAAATTACTTACAGTTAAGAACAGACAAACAAGGCTGGGCACTGGTGGCTCACACTGGTAATCTTAGCTACTCAGGAGGTTAAGAGCTGATGAGTGCAGTTCAAAGCCAGGAAAGTTTATGAGACTCAGATCTCCAGTTAACTGCCAGAAAACTGGAAGTGGTGCTGTGGCTCAGAGTGGTAGAATGCAAGTTTTAAACGAAAAAATCCAGGACAGCACTCACACCTGGTCAAGACTCATGACCAACAACAACAACAAAAAAAGACAAACATAATCTATTCAAAAAGGTACCTGTAATAGTCATATGTACCTCCATAGTCTGATCCATGTCACAATCCTGTGACACAGAGGAAGAACAAAAAAGAGAAAAGCAAGGAAGACAGAATGTGAACTGAAAAAGAGTTGAGTGGAATAAGAAGCGGAAGAAGATCAAGGAAACCAGAGGAGAATTGACAAGAGAAGCCAACAGATTCAGAATAGAAATGGAGCTCAAGTCTATAATTTTAGCTACTAAGCAGCAGCAATCAGAGAATAGAGATTCAAGGTCAGCCCAGCAGCTGTGACAAGAAAAAGTTCACAAAACTAAGCTCCATCTCCACCAATGGCTGGGTGCATAGGTGTGTACCTATCATCAGAGTGATGTGGGGAAATACAAGTAGGATTACAGTCCAGTCTAGTCCAGGCATAAAGTGAGATCCTATCTCAAAACAACAGCCAAACAGGGATTATACCATGGGGGGAACTTTACAACTTTGGCAGGGGGGCAGGGGAGAGCGCAGGGGGGGAGGGTGGAGATGAGAAGGGGAAACAAAGAAGGAGGCAACAATGCTTGATAAGAAATGTACTTATTACCTTGACCATGTAACTGTAACCCCTCTGTACAGTATTCTGTACAGTATTTTCACACACACACACACACACACACACACACACACACACACACACACACACACACACACACACACACACACAGCCAATGCAAAAAAAGAGCTTGCAATGTGGTTCAAGTAGTAGAGCATCTGCCTTACAAGTGTGAGGCCCTGAGATCACATAAAGAACTCCTACCTCCAAAAAAGAAAGAACAAAAGAAAGAATGAAAGGAAGAAAAGGAAGGAAGGGAGAGAGGTAGGGAGGGGGCACAAAGGGAATCTGCAGCCATTATTATTTAAGTCAGTAGTTAATCGAATTTGACAGCCTAGGTCATAGAAAGTGAGCCATAGAGAGTTAACACTTGTCACCACTGCCCTATGTAAGACTTGCTCATTGTCAACAGGCTTTCCCTCAGTGGGAAGTGGTTTTTATTTTCAAACCTACAGATTTATTTTTTAGAAGCTACTTTCCCTGACAATGCTAGAAGGTTTATTATATGTGCATTTCTTAAATCCTTAGACATACCTTTAACTTTACCACCTAAATTTGAAAGCCCGTTGGCTAAGGTATAGCTATCCATTGACCTATTTTTTTTGGTCTTCCAGATTACTGCGGCCTCATTTAACAGAGTCTGGTAGTTAAAGTTGAACCCCCCAATTATATCTCTTAGTGCTGAATTCCTTTTGCACAACTAATTTATCTTTTTTGCATTATAAGCTTATACTGGAAATACAAAAGGACAAAATCTTCTAGACTTGCTGGTTTATGCTGCCTTTCATGAAATTATTTAATAAGGCTTGTTCTGTAATGGTCAAAGCGGTTCACACAGGAATGAGATCCTGGACCCCTGCATGCATAGAAATGGAGAGCCTGTCCCTAGGCACAGAGGATGCTGTGGCCTCTCACAAGTGTACAAAAAGTAGTCATTTATATTTTGGGAGGGTGCAGAGGCTCTTTAGAAATCCCAGAGTTGTCAGACACCAGTGGCCCGTGCCTTTAATCCTAGCTAAACAGGAGGTTGAGATCTGAGAATCATGGTTCAAAGTCAACCCGGGCAGAAAAGTTCATGAAACTCTTTATCTTCAATTAACCAGGCAAAGCCAGAAGGGGAGGTATGGCTTAAATGGTAGAGCACCAGCCTTGAAGAAAAAAAAAAACTACGGTAGAGTACCTTAGCCCTGAGTTCAAGCCCCAGTACTGGAACAAAATAAATAAAAATTATTTTTCTTAAATCCCAGAGCTATGCCAAGAGTTATTTTTTAAATGCATCATTGTTTGGAGAAAGCCAAACAGAAATATCTTTAAAAGCAAAAAGTTAAATTATTCACAATAAAGAACAGAGAAACATAAATGGTTTATTCTTATTTATGCAAAACCATCCCAAGAGTAGGTTCTTTGTGGAATAATGTATTGCAGAGGTGAAAGGCACGGGCCCTAGACTAAAAAGACCTGGGCTACAATTCTCCCTGCACTGTTACTAAGCCTATGACCTTGAGCAAGTCACCTAATCTGTCTCAGTTTACCAATCTGTAAAATAAGGATAACCAAAATACTTGCTAGGATGGTTAGGATAAATGATACCATATACAAAAAAAGGTTCAGTACACACAAGGATGCAGTGCATTGTAGTTGTTACTATTACAGTGTTCCATCCTTCTGTCCATCCTAGAAACCAGAACTCATGTCTACCTATTAGTGATTTCAAGCCTAGTGAACCCAGTGAATTTGATAAGACTGGCAAAATGTGCTTTCTGACGTGCAAAATGTTTTTTTACGCTCTTTGCTGCTGCTCTTTGTGCAATATTTAAGAATACATGTACAACTTAACAAAGAAAGAGAAGATTTGTGTTAATACTGCTGGAGACTAAAGAAGCAATTGAAGCAAGTTGCATCTATAGTCTTTGTTTTCATCTTGCAGGAAGCAGAACAGATGAAAGCGGTAGCAAGGCCCAGTTAGGGATGTGGATTTGACGATTGGAAATACTGAATTTATTCATGCAATCTCTCTTTCCCCGCTGATCAGCTATTCACAGCTAAAGATGGGGACAGAGGGAGAATCTTAAGTTTTTCCTGGCTGCTTGTATACTCAGAAGTAAAACTGAACTTATGAACACATCTCTACCCCTCTCAGTAAAATCTCTGAAAGTGTGGTAAGAAGTGATGTGACTGTATAAGCATCTGCGTTAAAAAAAGAAAAAAATTCAGCACTCAGTTATCTCTCTCTAGTTGCTTTCACTGTCTCCTTCAAAGCTCCCTCTCTGGTCTGGTCTATTGGCCTAGAAACTGTTTTTTGGAGAAAACACATGCTTGAATTCCCTTGAAAATCTGGTAGAGAAATCCTGTTGTGTGATGGATAGGGAAGGAGAATAGAAATCACAGAGAATTACTGAGGAACATTTACCCCTGATTTCCTAAGATTCTGCCCTACCGGACCATAGAGCCTTTAACAAAAATTTTGATTTTGATTTTTTTTTCATTTGCAAGATATAGTTTCCATACTTAGAGTTCCAAGCATTCGTAATTCTGAGCCTTGCTAGTCAACGAAAACTACACACTACCTTTATTTCTAGAGTTGAGAATAAGGCAAACCAATATGGCGCTGCCTTCCTTAACAAGAGTCCTATTTCCTTGCTAACTTGCTAACTTCTTGTTTCAGATCCCACATTTGACGGGGTGACTGACAAACCAATCTTAGACTGCTGTGCCTGTGGAACTGCCAAGTACAGACTCACGTTTTATGGGAACTGGTCCGAGAAGACTCATCCAAAGGATTACCCTCGTGAGTAGAGTAGCCACTTTCTGGGTTAGGGAAAAGCATATGGCTCAAGTTCTGACCATGGGATACACAAGCTGCAATGTGTCAGTTCTGCTCACTATTAGCCATTGATTCAGGAATCTCACGTTCCAAGCAAGTAAATTAATGGAGGCAGGCAGACATAATAGTGGCATGCTTTTTGCATCTTTGCATAGCACTGTTCTGATGTTTTCTTAGTTTAAGAAAAAAAAAATTCCTGAAGTCATGCTGCTTATCTCCAGGAGGAACATTTGGTAACATTAGCCCTAAAACAGCTCTCTCGTGTTATAAAACACGACTTTTGTGCTGGAAGTAATTGGCCAAGAGACTTGGTCTTGTCTCCATTGATCATAGATAATTACTCAGCATCCAACCCCCTCCTGGCCCCTTCCGACTGCCCACTGCCCACTGCTGCTGCCGCCCAGCAGACATCGGTAATCAATCAGTCCACCTTTTCCTTATAGTGGCAGATATTGCTTTGCAAGCCCTTCATGATACTGGCTGTAGGTAGCCAATGCTAACCTATTGAAGTTGTCAGAAGGCTTCCAAGTGCTATATGGTTTAGGGCCTGAAAGAGGAACTGCCCCCAATGATCGTCCCAACAAATGCCTGACATGTGCCAGGTCCTGTACTAAGCTCTAGAGATTTAAATAGTGATCAACAACAACAAAGATGGAGTTCAGGTTCTTGTGTAACTTGGGGATTAGAGGAACACTAACACTAATGAGTCATATACATACACCAATGAAAATATAGCTATGAAGTTACAAAGCATTTTTTCTATGCTATATTAATTTAATCCTCAAAGTAACCTATGCTAGAGAAGCTATAATTTGCTAAGAGTCAAATGGGCCCCCCCTTCAGTTGAAAAAGGGGGTTTCCTTCTCCTTGCCCTGCTTTTATTTGGAGTTACTTTTAACTCTGGACTGACCATTCTCTGGCTGTGGGTGGCAGGAAGTCTGTGTGTGCCTCTGAGCATATCATGATGTTCACCATTTCGTTCTGTGTCTTTCATTCTGGGAGTTACCACAGCTGAGAAAGAACCATAGGAATGAGAGGAACAGATGTGGGATGGAGTCCAGGCCCCAAAGGAAAGGAGAAAAAGAGCACATGGTTAGGGCTTGAGAGAACTCAGGCCACACCAGAACCTCTCTAGTCTACAGACAGCCCACCCTGGAGGGGATACCAACATTTCTTGGCAGATCAAGAGCCCTATTGTTTCCATTTACCCACATAAAATCAAGGGCTGGGATCTCAGAAACCTCTTGCTAGTTCATTCCTCTGACTTTGGATTTCAGCCTGATCTGCCTCAGCTGCTGTGGGAGACCTTTGTGAACACACTTGGACTCACTGCCTGGGGAGACAGGAAAAAAAAACCACTTGGAACAAAAATGCTGGAAAAAAAATCTGTAGCTCTCCCATCCACTAGCCCACAGAACATAAAATGTTAGAAGCTATTACTCATCTTTTGCAATCCTCGGCAGCTTTTACCCTTTTTCTACCCTGCCACTGTCATTTCCTGTAATTGGGGTATGGAGAAGGGTACAAAACCATTGTTTCTGGGCCTCTGAGGCAAATCAAGTGCAAAGCTATAAAGAATTCCTGTGGAGTTGTTGGGAGTTTAATAAGTATAGCAGACATGTGTTCCAGATTTTCTAGGATTGTTTCATTGTTAGATATTGTTTCATTGTCAGATCATGCCTTAATTTTTGGTTGGAAAAATGGGATCTCTATGTACAGAACAACATTTATCACATCATACTGTAATTACGTTTTCAGAAGTCTTTGTTTGCTACCAGGCAGAGAAATCCTCCAAGACAAAAAGCCATGACATTTCCATCTTTGATTCTCAGTGCCTGAAAGGGACTGGTACCTTCTCAAGTACTGGGTACTGAGCTCTGAGTGGTGCTTACTATGACAAGGGAAGGTGTGTAGCTTACACTCAGTAGCCAATACTGAACAAGGCCTTGCTTGTAGCCTGGAGCTGCTTGGAGGGAACAGGGTGAGTTTAACACTCAAGGAACTACAGCCACTTGGAAGGGCAAAAGGAATTGTAGTTGGGACCTGCCTGAAATTTGGTGTCCTCGGAAGGTTCTGCCAACCTTACGTAACAGGTGAATTTCCCCTTGGTACTGCCAAGATGATTCTGCTTTGATAACCCTTGTGAAGCTCAGAAAAGCCTCCTGACCACAGTGCACATTCATTTGAAGTCCCCCTGTCCTTTATTGATTACTATCCAAAGTACCACTTTCCTTGCAAGGACATTCAGATGCTGGCTCTCAAGACTTTAAGTCTCAAGATCACTTTCACATGCTTAAAATTCATTATGAACATCAATGCACCATAGTGTACATGTGCATGGGCTATATCTATTAATATTTACCACATCAAAAGCAAAAGCTGAAAAAGTTTTAAATATTTATTTGGCTTGAACTCAGGGTTTTGCACTCGCTCAGCTTGCTTTCTCCTTGCTGGCTCTCCACCACTCGAGCTACACTCTCATTCTAACATATTGCTAGTTAATTAGAGACAGTAACTCAGACATTGTTCTCTGCACTGGTTTTGAACCACTGTCCTCAGAATACCATGTTTTATGAAAATCACTATGTTGTCTGAAACAAAAGATATGTAGTGAAGTGTCATTTTTTTTTTTATTTTTGCCAATCCCTTTCTTGTCTGGCTTAATAGAAGACACCTGGATTCTTGCTCACCTTTGTTTCTCTGTTCAGCCTATTGTGGTATATTTTAATTGAAGTGTCTGTCTCACAGGGGTATGTAACTGGAAAGGGGAAATATTTTGAGAATTTTATCCAGATATTGACAGATAATTTTCCCAAACCATATAAACTGTACAAGTAGTAGCCTATAATGTTAGTATGAAGTTTTATCAATGGACATGTACTCTGTTACACTAAAATGTACTCCTTACCTTCCACTTTGGGTGGATCTTTTTATAAATGCATGAATGTATAGCACCATACACTAGTTATTTGAAAAATATTGATTTACTGAGCCAGGCAGATCATCCAAATACTGAGACACTTTATTAAACCTATTAAAATCCCATCCATTGATATGATTACAAAGCCCATCAGAAAAGTGTTGGACAACCAGAAAGTTATCAAGTTTATTGCAGTGGATACAGGTCTTCTAAGCTTCTGATTTTTTGCTTAAAAGCTTGAATTTGATCATTGGCAATAAATACTGTCAGTTTTCTGACAGTACTGTTTTCCTTCAAGTGACAGGCTCACTTCATTTTTGAGAAAATGCCTGCCAAATTCCCAAGTCTAAATAACCATAATTTGCCTGTCATTGGTTCTTTCAAGTAAATATGATGTTTTATGACTATAAAAAAGTGTCTAGTCCTAGCTTGCCCCATGCAGAATCACATAAGTGTTTTCTTTTCAGAGCAGAGTACTTCAGTATATAACTGAAGTGCATTTGTTATTTCATGATTAGTTACTCAGAATAATCAGATATATATACTCAAAGGAAGTGACTTAATAAAATTAATCATTTGATTATTACATCAAGGACATTTGTACGTGAAACTGACTTTTTGTGGTCTTCTGTGAGCATATGGCCATGAAAAATGCATTTACTATGAATATAGTTCAGGGTCCCTCCCTTGACCTGTGTTCAATGCCAGCATTAATGTCACACTGTGAAAAGCAAATGATATCTTAAGATTATTGAAAAAAAAAATGTTTTCACCTCTTGGCCACTCTGAAAGGCTTGCAGGGTTCCCAGGAATCTAGATCACACTTGGAAGAACCTCAAGAATGAGTTAGAGAGCAGCCTTTCAGTCCCCTTTGAGTAATTTTCCTCTAAGAATTCACACTGAGCACTACCTGGAGAATTTAGCGAGCACTTGTGTGTTCAGCCATCAGAGTAAGACGCATCTATGGTTAGCTTCTCAATAGTACATAATGGCTTGTTCCAAATGCTATTTCTGGGTTTCCCTCCATTGGAACACTGTGTACCTCTGGGAGGCAGGAGAATGGCCTAGGTAGATTCTGGTATTCCTCCTCTGATATATATAAATCTCCACTGACCATCTACAAATAATGAAATACTTTCAAAACACCCCTAATCAAGTAGCTCTAGAAATCCCTTTTAAATATGACCCATATGTGTTTTGCTTCCCAATTTTATGAATGAGGGGAAAAAAAACCCGAATGGCAAAGAAATTATGGGTCAGATCGCATAGTCAGCAAGTATCCAGATGAAAAAAAACAAAGCTTAGATCCAGATTCCTTTTTGCCTTCCTTTGGAGGTTGTCACAAAGCAGTCAGTCTTTAAATAAACATCTCTGCACCAAACATCTTCTAATGAGGCCCTGCTGTACTAACAGTAACTCAGCTAGTACCATCTCTGTGCCATCTGACCTGTCATGCAACAATGTATGAGATCATCTCTGCAGATACCCTAGCTGAGATTCCAGAAAGAGAAGTTGTGGGTTCACTGTGTCTGATCAGACCTACTGAATTCTGAAGCAGTAGAAACTACCAGCACCATGATGTCCATTACCGTCACTGCCAGTCTGAAGCTCCCAGTGGCGGGGACCTTGAGAGCAGCTGCTTCTCATGAACAAGCTAACCAGGCATATAAGGATGTCCTGAGGGCTGGAGACAAGCCCATTCTTTGTCACAGGATTGGGAGCTTCCTACCAGATACTAGGTCTCTTTAATCTCCAGGTCTCAATACAGCTTTTGGGTTTTTGACAAAATGCTTCCTGCCTGCTTCCTGCAGGCCCACTCTCATCTCCCTGGATCCTGGGAGCCACTGAATTTCCTCCATCAACAAAGCATCTCTTTCAATACTATTTAACAAATTTAACAAATACTCTTTAACATATTGATGGGTGATGTTTTCCCCAGAAACATTGTTTTCATTTGACAACACATTATCTAAACTGTTAATTTGGCCATTGAGAAATACATGATACCCAATCAGAGTTAATTTTACAATAAAATTCTACCTTC